TGTGGGTTTCTACTCTGACTTGGCTTCATTTTTTAACTTTTCATTTTCTTTTTAGGGAACGAAACTGCTCACTGGATTTGGCAGCTGACGGCTATTAACTGTCACACTCCAATAACCAAGGGATAGTTAGAACAGCATTAAATATTTGCACTGAGCAGCAAGGCTATACTTCATCTCAGTACACATGAATCCCATGCTCTTTTCACACTGGAAGAAAACCCACCTTATTGCTATTCAAATCTATCTGTCTGTCTCTCTTCCCATACTGTCATTACGCATGCAAGGCCTGTCAGTGTCATTGACACAAAAAGCCCCTCTCGCTTTATGCCAACACCAGTGACACCTGGAAAAAAAAAAAACAAAAAAAAAACAGGACTCAAAAGAATTACTGCATCTGAGAAATTTGTTTATTTGGCCTTTATTTTCTAGTAAGGTCGCTTATTCCATGTCTTTATAAAAGTAATTCTCCTACCCTGCAAGGGTGAATGTTTCCTCTCACAGGAACAGCTTACAGACAATTCTATATGAAAAGTAGGGTCTGGTAACTGAGGTTTGTGCATTTTGCGTGTCCCTGGTTAAACTGTAAAGCTTTATTTTGAGCACAGTTTTTTTCCCCTCATCATCTTAACTGCCATTTTGAGTCTAATCTTTTAGGAAATATCCTACATAGGCACTCCTTGTGGTCCGCTTTTAAAAAGCAAAATTTATTTTGGCCTCTGCAGGAAGCATTTAAAGCACATAATGAATAATGTTTGACACAGGAGTCAGTTAGCAGTCATTTCAGATTAACAACACAGCTCAGAAAAAAACCTTGCAGGGGATTAGACCAAGGGGAGGATGCTTAGGCAATAACCTCTGAGCCAGTTGGTTGCTGAACTATTCACAATAGACATAACTATCTCTGAAGGACTTAAGTGTGAGAATTATCTCTGGGAAGAGAACAATGAGTTAGTGAGATATAAAACAATAGGCTCATGCTCTAACACAAGCAGTTAGCACCGCACATGTTCTCTTCTCATTTAATCTGCAAGACTTTCAGACAGTAGCAGTTGGTGCCCAAATTAAGACTTCCTCTCTCCCTTTGATCTTATGTGAAAACTAATGAATTGTATAATCTCCAACACCTCTGAAATTCTGCTGGTTAAAAGGAAACTATTCCTACCTTTCCCATGCCTGTCTCAATTCACTCAATGGGAGCTATATTTAACAGCAGGCCAATCACATGATCGCTGAAAAGGAACAGCACAAGGATCTGTAATCCTAATGCTCTGGAGCTGTGACTGCTATAAATCCTTTGCAGAATGATTTCCTTTAAATCCCAAACATGTCATCACACTTTTAATTAACATTTCTTTATGAAAACTGTGGATAAGACCCTTTAAATTAAAGATTGTTCCCAGACTTGTCATCTTAAAACAGTGTGCATTTCTATTGTCATTTTCATGTAGCATATTTTACTTCACTTTAGAAGTCAAGCTTTTTTTTCCTTCCTTTCCCCTCACTTGCCTTCCCTGCCTTAATCCTCAAACAAGTAGTAACAGCTAGCCCTATTTTAAAGGGTAAATAAATAGCTTTAAATCAGTTCATGTCCAAAAGGCAAAATTAAAATAATCAAGAGACCAGCAATGAGTACAGGCAGAGATGTGGCTGATACTGCCTTACTTGAATTCTTACCACCTTAATATCTTGAGTTCACCATCTAATTGAGCTTATCATCTTTACAGAGAGAAAGAGGTTAAGAAAAGAAAGTGATCTGCCCAAAGTGGATCACTCACAGAAACGGAGACACAACCTTTATTTCCTGATTCCCAGCTCTTAAATCTCAGCTATTTAGCATGTGGCCTTCTACAAACCAGGCTTATTTCCTTGCCTGTTGATCTCAGCAGCATTGCTACCCACTTATGTGGTTCTAAAACAAGCCTAAAATGGAAGATGCTGGGCACAGGAGATGCAGTCTTATTTTCAGCAAAAGGGAAAAGTTTTATCGGAGTGAAGGTGATATGCTTTGGCCAGTGGCTAGTGGGAAATGGATTTCCAATATTTGTTTTCCTGAAAGTAACCCAGGTAAGACCTCTGCGTTTGAATGATGGCTCAAGCTCAGTGACAGATTCACTTCAGTTATCCCATCTGGGATTTGCGACAGTGGCACATGTCACTGGCAGACAACTCTTTCAATGACGTTTTTCAGCAAGCCCAGTTTTCTAATGTGCCTCTGTGTGGAATAAGCTGGTAGAGGACTAAAGAGAGAGGAAGAATATTTGTCAGAGAGAATATTAAGGATAGCACCATTATCCATTACATAGATAAAAAAGCCCTTCATCAGTGAGAAGCAGGAAAAAAATACAGATCCTCAAAAGAATCTGGAATGAAATCGTCAGGCAACTTGACAGCACAAATAAATTGAAATTACTTGGCATGATTTGGCAATACATTTCTAAGTATCTATATATAATCCAAGAATATCCATTGACAGATATTGGAGAAATAATGAATGGTTAAATAGAGCAGGCCGGACTCTGATGCCCTTCCATGAATTGGGTAGTAGTTTATTCCTCAGCTGCTCCCACTGGCTTCAAATTATGCTTTGTAGCTGACACTCAGAGCCAAATGTCAGGAGCCCAAGCTCAACAAGCACATCAGTGGAAAAGCTCAGAACAGAACCTCTGACTTGACTCTCTCGCATCCTGAATTGAAAACAAAGAATAGCCTAGAGAAAGAAAGAAAGAATCCCCCGCTATGTTATGACTACCTTCCTTTACATATCCTCCCTTCCTTTACAGTAGTTATGCTGTCTTGTAGTTTCATTGGTACAGTAAAGAATGTTTATATATTTATATTCTGTTTTAAATGGCCCATAATTACCTGGCCAGGACATTGATAAAGTTGTTTCAAAAGGAATGGAAAGTGTCATGGATGCAGAGTAAAGGCAACAGCAAATTTAACCACTAGACTATTGGGTTTTTCCTTACTGACAGCCAAATTCATGCAGTAAGTGTGGTGTGGCGTATGTGACTGTATATTAAAAACACATCCTTCCTCAGCCTGTCAGCTTTTCTTGATTAAAATATATTGCATGGATACATCAAGTTAAATAATTAAAAATTAACCATGAGATATAAACCAATGACATTCTTCTGATCAATCCATAAAGCCTGAAGACCATGTACACTGTAGCCTCTTTCAGTTTCGTTCCCAGTTCCATTTTCACTCCAATGTATTCTTTCCTTTTCCTCTCTCCAATGCTAGAACATGAGAAATTTAAAGTCCAAAGCCCTTTCGAGAGTAGCACTATGAAGAAACCAGACAAGTCTTATTTGTACAAAGCTGTTCATGAGTAGGTTCACAGATAGACAAGGCCTGTACATGCAACTTTTTTCAGATATAAACTGTGAGCCCGAGTCCTTGAAGAATATACCGTACTTACGATGCATTGACCTGTGCTTGTGACAACGGAGTTCCATGGCCCCGTGAAGATTTTCAGAAGTGGGTGGTTTGAACCACCGTGAAGTACACACCAGGTGATCTCTAAGATGACAGAGCCTGCTGTCCAATGTATCAGACTGGATACTGGGCCAAACAAGGGAATCAGGATCACAGCCTTGATTTCTCTCTGTGCTCTTTGCAATACACAAACTGTAATAACAATATTCAGTCGCTGTGCGTCCCTTGTTCCATGCTATGCAGTAAAGTGCGAAGCCCACACTGACTTAATATTTTTTGATGAACCCCAGCCATTAAATTTTCATCTCTCCTGTGGTACAAACACCAAAACCATGTTCCTTCCATTCCTTACTGCTGAGATTACCCTTGAACACCCACCTGGACACTGATAATCATGTATAAAATATTGAGATCTCGCATGTACTGTGGGCTACGCACCCATTTCCTGTTCCCATTTCAGTACGATATATGGAGGAAAGCCAGACCCATACCAATAAAAAACTGGGAGTTACTGTATGACAATTTTTTATTTATCAGTATCAAATTACATAGCAAAGTAATGAATGCAGTGTCAGATCACCTCTTTGAATACTGTAAATACAAACAAAATCCAGCATATTGCTTAATCATCCAAAGTAAATTAAAAGTTTAAAAATGTGCGTTTCAGAGATTCCGTTTGGCATATCCTGTTAATATATCCTGCATAAATATTTCTGTACCTCATTTTCACTATGTGTACCTTAAGTAAATACAGCCTCTAGAAAGCTCACATGGAGGAGATAGGCTCTATCTGTATATTTATGTTCATCACCAACTCATATATCTGCCCTGAAATCACTGAAAGTACCTAGCTGCTAACTCACCTGACAGACGAATGTGATCGTACAGAGAGTGGCCAGACCCTGCTCTCACATAGCGCCAGATCCAGAGCTACTGGCATCAGTGCATGACGACTGAATGCGTGACATCAGCTTTGGATCAGGTCCTTAAATTACTGGCTAAATAGCTATTCACTTTCATGGAAGCTGGGCTGGATTTGATGGCCAGATCTTGTACACTCAAAATACGTAAAGAAATTCTTGGGATATTTACACTGCTCTTTACACTAGTGTGAATCCACTATATAGAAAGAACAATTTGTGGTTTATGTTAAGTGACAAATAAAGTCAGGTCTGTTGATTTCACGTAAGTTGAGTAGGATTTGGCCACAGCTGGATACAAACTAGGTAATTCAACAGAAGTATTTTAATGGTGTTAATCAGCAGTGTCATTTACATGGGACTTCCTTATAAACTGTGTAAATAGAACATTTTTTCTTGATGGATGAAAGAACAAGCTTTACTTAGCACTGTTTCCAAAAGTTAAGACTACTAAGACATTGTAAGGGTATGAAAAGGAAAACACCATAGAAATAGATATTTTGTTTAGAATACAATGAACAGAAGTACAGAAGCGTTGATGCAGGTAATTGGAAAGTGAGGAAAGGGAAGGTGGGAAAATTTAGGCAGCAATCCCATGGCAACATGGGAGTTACTCTTGATCCCTCCATTTCACCAGTATCAGTGGAAGTCAGGCTTCTCTGGGAAGGTGCAACCTGAACGCTTGATAATTACGCTGGCTGCGTAATGTCCAGCCCGGATGCACTCAGTCACTGGCCGGTCATAGACGAGCTGTGAGAGAAACCCTATGGAATAAAGCAGGAGAGAAAGAGAAGGAAGAAAACGGTTAGATTAGTTGTTTTGAGTGTATCAATTTATCCCAGGGCAAAGCACTGAAATATTGGCCTAACTGTATGTACACAGGTAGCCTGGCTAGTTTAAATGTAGTATTGCGCTTGAATGACCTGCTGAGCTGGAGTGCTGCTGCTGTTATTTCTTCCTGAAGTCTCCATTTAGTAGCTTCAAGTAAATTAAAGATTATCAACTGACCTTTATTAGTACCCTCACTAGCGTGCAGGGCTTAGAAAACCAGAAACCACTGGGAGCTGAGTGTTTTGCAAACCAGAGAACCTCTTTAAATGAATATAAGCAGAAAGTCCTGAAAAGGAGATTCATAAGTACTTGGAAAAGTTAAGTGCAAGTGGCACCAGGAATTTCATGGATTGAGTCCCTCATTTCTGAAACATTTTGTCTTGGCTGAAACTATTGTGATCGAAAGCATGACAGAACTTATGGCAGAGGTGAAATACGTATTTTAAATTTGGAAGAGGTTTTCAAGATGTGAAAAGTAAACTTAGTATCTGATAATTTAAAACTCCACTCTGTCATTCTAGATGTAATGTTTTATTCACTTTTATCCTGTTTTTAATATGTTTCAGATGTATCTCTCTTCCTCATCCAATCACAGAAGGAAAGTGAGACTTGCCCAGGAAAATCAGAATTCCAGCAAGCTGAAACATGTTCTTTTTAAAGCTTTCATCCACCAATTCAAGTTCCTGTGTCACACTCTGACAGTACAAATCTAGTCTGGAAACCATCTCTCATAAGTACTGTGTAGCTCATAGGTATCAATTTCTGACATATTACAAATTTTGATTCAAAGATGATGTGTTTTGCTAGCTTGCTTTCAAATACACTTTCTCTATTCAGCTTGGTTACTACTGGAACAAAGACTCTACATTATATTGCAATGCTCTCATTTAACCTGTGCACCTTTTCTAAATATTTCCTTTTGTGGGACAGTAGAGCATATTTTTAGAAGATGATAAAAATATTTTATCCTATGCAACCATGTCTGCTCCTTGAAGATTAAAAATCATGTAAAACATGAAGAATAAGGTTATATTAACAAAGGCTAATACTGGTGAGCAAAAGACCCTGTTTTCATGAATTACCAAGATCTATCTTGGCTTCTCGGTCATGACTGACAGTGAAAAGAAGCCTAGTTGATGTATAGTTTTCTCTAAACTGCACTGAATGGGAGAAGAGTTTGAAACTACTAAATCTATAAATCAAATATTTTAATTGGAATAGGAAGGCCATAAAAAGTAGGCATTTTAATTGACAACTAGGAGAAAACTGTTAAGTTTCTGACATCAATACTTTTTTAGAGAACTACGTATTAGCTGGAATTTCACAGCTACTGACTGACACCAGCTGGGAAAAAATGACTGCTTCACCAACAAAAGTTCAGTTCATAAGCACAAGTAGAGAAGACAGGAGTTTTCAATATACAAGGATGAGAATCTGAAAGAGGAAGAAATTGTGCCGAGTGCTATCACTGATGGCAGTCAGGGGATGACAGACAACACAACTGTGGCAGGATGGTCCAGTGGTAATAGTTGGGTAACAGTTGAGAAATTCAAACAGCATGCCTGGCAGAAATGAGACCATTTCTCAATAACGAGATGAAAATGGTCTGCTCTCCATTAAATTAAAATGCATTCTTAGGAGAAACTTTCTTGGATACGTGGAGAATGTCAATCATTAAATTGAAACTGCCTGGGAGGCAGGAGCTTGCCAGTGTGCTTCTGGGTGGTTAAAACTTGAGAGCAAGTTGTAACCGTATGTAAAACGAGGCTGTTAAGACAGTCCATTTCTGACTCAGTAAATATTGAAGGTGCACTGGGCTGATCTCCAAAGGCAAACATGAGGCTAGGTTTTGTGCAGAGCATGAATTTAGAGAGGGGGCTATACAGGAAAGAACAACTGTCCTCCATGTTTATGATCAAGGCATCAAACATATGTGAAGATGAGAAAATCTAAGGAGCAAAGGACCATAAACCAGAAATTATTTCTCAATACCAACTAGACCGAGACTGTCACCACCTCCCAGGCTCACTGTAATTTCAAGCTAGTATCTTTTGTCTTCAGTGAAGCTACTTCTTATTTATTCTGATCTAAGTGAAAGCAGAATCAGGTGAAAAAACATCCTGCTCTAATTGGGGATATAAATGAGAGATCTCTGTGATTTCAGAGTGGCAGAGAAATGACATTAAGTACAGCTGTCATATATGAGAGATGTAGAAACTGCACTGGGGAGTTTGCCCTCAAACCATTCTCTTGTCTGTTGAGTTTCTCTTAAAAGGTATGTGTTTCATAGATGAAATAGAAATAGCAGTATCTGACACAGAATGACAATACAAACACACATATCACAAATACAAAACAACATCACATACTATGACTAGGCAGTTGGCAAAGCAGACCCTGAGGGAACACCAGAAAGCACTGTTGTTTGAGCAGAGAAACAAAGAGCTCTTTCAGGTTGGCTGCCTTAGCTGCAGAATGTTCTTTTTAGTTAATGCAGTAAAAAGCAATATGGTCAGAACGGTTTGCCTCCTCCACTGTATAAGGTACTGTGATGCAAACCCCATGAGTCACACTCTCAAGGCATGGATTCAGATCTTCGAGTTCCAGCTGAAGAAGTTACCGCCCCATCTGTTTTTCACTATCCTTCTTTGCTGCTTGTATAACCTGATACTCTGTCAAAATGAGCCATATTAGTTTAAACAGTAAGCTGTTGATAGGAGATCTTCGCTAACCCAGCTGACTTAAACTGAAGTAGGTTAGTGAGTACTCAAACAGCTCTACCAGCGAGCAGGGTGATGGATGGAAAATGATAAGCAGTTGAAGGTTGTAATCTCTTTAAGGTGCCATGACTGGAAATGCAAGAAGATAAGTGAACATGGCTTCAGACTTACTTCACATTCCTCCTACAATTTCATAGACAGAAAGGGCAGGATTGAACTCTGGTCCTGTATCATGGGCCTGGGATCACAGAACTAGATCATCCGAGCACATACTAAAGTAGCTCAGCAACTATTTTAACTTCTGCCATGGCCTGAACCAGTTCCCAGCTATCACTGGAACGGAGTGCAGAAAGCAATAGTATATTTTGGCTAGACAAGACAATTTCACTTCAAATATTTTACCAAAACAACTTCAGGCAATATTGTCTACCATCTTCTAATTGCAACAATTCTGAACTAGCATTTCTACACTGCTGAAGCTGTGGCTGATGTTACACACACTGTGTACCACTCTCTTCACACTAGAACCCAGAGGCAAGAACCAAACTCAAGCCTTTCCCGCTTGTCTGCCTCCTGCCCTGACATCCAAATTGTTTATCATTTACTGAGTAAGAAAAATGGCAGTTGCAGGATGTCTAGTAAGTCACCTTCCTATAATTTGCCATCTCGGTAAGCTTTCAGAGTAGACTGGAATGCCTTTTGTCCCTCACAAGCCTGGACATCCAAGTAACCACCTTGTACCTAGTCACAATAAGAACTTATCTGGAACTGCGACCAATTCATCCCACTTATTCAGCATCTTCCTAGAAAGCAAAGACAACTTTGCTTCAAAAGTTGCTTTAAACCTTAGAGTGGTACAAAATGTATTTGCATTCCCAGGTGACAGAAGTGATTATAATACACCAATAGCTATTTTTGGCCCGTAATTATTTCTTTTCTGCTCAGTAGAAAAAAGCGTCTCTGAAATCACTTTGCTCTGAAAAGCATGTAAAATAATTGAGTTAATCTTCATTATCTCCAGCTTCCTTACTACATATGCTCAAAGACAATGTTTATAATTTCTAGGTCTGCAAATAGAATGAGGGACGGAAAAGTCACGTTACTTTACTCCTTTTTGTGTTCACCACCAAATGAAAAGTGCCAGAAGTGGTGCTTGAGCCTCAAAGTCCAGACCCAAACCAAGGCCCTCACTGAAACCAGCTCAAAGCTCTCTGGGGATGTCAATATAAGTCTGAAAATCATAGCAAGACAGGGCACTGACTGACACAAAAGGTGTTGTCTTTACTTTGTTACTTCTAAGAGCTGAGTAGCACTCAAAAACCATTAAAGGAGAATCAAGTTCATTTTCTTGTGGCCAGCAAAACAGATATTTCAGAGGCAATTTCACTGAAATCAGCAATTTCTTTGAAAGTTTTGTTTCCAAATTATCAGTGGTAATTCTGAATGAATGCCTAGCGCTAGGGCAGTTGGACAGGAATGTGGGAGTCTGATAGCAGAGATTTTAAAACAGTTCTAGTCTGCTTCAGTAATGGTTTAACAACACTTAAAAACAGCTCATATTGAAGCCAAATGTTTAATTTCAAATTGTACACTTGACAATTAATTTTAATGACTGTTAATTACTAATGCTGGCTGGAAATCCGTTTATAGCCTCCGACACCCAGCTCCCCCACTACTCATCTTTCTGCAGTTTCTCTCACACTTCCAACCTTTATAAAATGCCCAAGGCAAAATTAATGTATTTTTTTTTTAAATGCAAGAGAGAAAAGCAGGAAAAAAAGCAATTATCAAATGCATTAATCATAAACAATTACAAGGTGACCCTGAGTCAGAGCCCCTCAAAACCTTTTTTGCTATGTGATGTTCCCAGACAATCCTCCTCTTCCACCTGAACCTTGAAGCACCTAATACAATCCATGCTAGCCAGGCCATTCACCAGCAAAATTGTCCCAGCCACAGAAATGATCACTAACAGCCGAGCTGCCTCCTCTTTTTTATATTTAAAGCTTCTACAGCTTAATTTGTGAACTGCCTTTTTAAAATGGTGTTATTCCACCATGGGGGACAGTTGCAAGCACCTTTTCACACTCTCGTTCGTATACAGCATTTATCACAGTTGCTCAAACACGCATCTATTTTTATGTGATCCCGCTAGCTTCCCAGGCCAGCAGTGTGGGAAGATGCAGTTTTCAAGAAACATTACCGTAGCAATT